GAAACAATAGAATTGTGTAAATAAATGAGGTGCCTAAATAATTATAGCATAATAGTAGAACCATAACACAGTCAATTATTTTAGGTACTTTTTGGTTGTTGATTTCAACAAATCTAACTATTTTGGAAGAAAAAAAAATGAATGTTTTATTTTTTAATGAATAATTATAAAACAATTGGCGTTAGACAGTAGTTAATTTGTTCATTTTTAATCACTTATGATCTCATTTTCCATCATTAGCTTTAGCTTTATAGAAAGCAAATAGCAAAAACAAAGATCAAAGGAAGCGTTAATTACCTCCTCTTTTGAAAGCAGCTAACAGATCATTCTGTTATTTTGATTCTTACTCATCTGCTTCATAAGTAACAGCAGTTAAGTGAAATCCATCGGCCTCATTGCATTCTATAACCAGCCTCAGCTTCCAATCCGTCACTGCGATGCTTAATGACAAAACACGAGAGAGGACGAGAGAGAGAGATTGTTTTGGAAAAATTTTCTTACGAACCAAACAGATAAACCCTACCATCTTATTCATCTTTTCTCTGAACAATTTAAGCTTTGACTTCCTCGAATAAAAGCCGCTCGAAAGTAGCCAAGTAATCATCAACGTCTTTGTATGTATCCTTCACTTATTTTAAAGCCAACGTCACCGCATCTTTGCTGTTTTTCTGATTCCAATTTCCAAACAGCAAAACATTAAAAAAAAAAAAAGCCATTGACATTTTGAAAAGCAGAGGGAGACATACATTGGAGAATTTGAGGAGGCGAAAATAATCACAACCAAGAATTATTTTACAGAAACGAACAATGGAGGCTTCTTCTTGAAGCTTATCTTTGTCCACAGCGATGGCATTTTCTCGAGTTTTTTCCAATAGGATGATACTTTAAAATTTTTATTCCTTAACAGGGATAGTTTTAATCTTATTTCCTTGAAAAAGTACTAAAATGACATGTCAATGCCAAATCAGTTATATCAAATTTTTAAATTAAAAAATAAAATTTTTAGGAATTAAAACAGTGATCCTTCCCCAATTTCCTCTGCCCTTTCCTTCTCTGTTCTTCAAACATCTTCCCCTGTATAGACATTTTCTTTTTCAACTTAGGTTTTTTGAATTCTATAAAAAGAGCTCCACAATCAAGATTTTCCTCATCTCTATTGCTTTCTTACTTGGTTGGGAATTCTACAAAATAACCATTGATATCCTGCCCTTCGGTAGTAGAACAAACCCCTTCCTTGTTCATATTCAACGAAGTAGCAGCTCATTATATGCATTTTTAAAGCAAAAACATATAAGAAATTGGAGAAATAAATCAGGAAAATGATCTTCAATAAGCTCTGGACATTCCTCAACTCAATATCTAGCCTCCCTACTCACTTGTGCAAATTTTGTTAACTCGTGAACAGCCTCATTGCCTCTTTTCTTATACGTGAGCAAACCAAAGCAAGAAATCCCCTTAGCCTCGGCTTCACCTCCTGATTCAAATTGCCTATGATGGATAGGTCTGTTTCCCTTTGTTGTGTCTGTCTAATGACTCCTAAAGCATCACCCTCCAAAATGATTTGGTTAAGCCCATTTCAGCTGCAAATTCTGTAGCTTTTGCTGCAGCCATTCCTTCGACCAGTGCAGGATCCACAAAGCCCGTCACTGGCATCGACAGCGTACCAAGAACAGCCCCAGTTGATTCTTTTCTTTGATTCAAGGAGTTGAGAAACTTTCCAGATAAACATTGTTGGAGAGTCGTTTATAAAGAGGATTAGATGAGCGCTCTCTTTTTTCAATTATGAATTTTGCCAGAAATTTTTTTTACAGGTATGGAAAGCTTACCTTATCTTTTGCCTTTCATTTATATAAAAAATTACATAAAAATGACGTGGCTTAGACTACCTCTTTTAAGGAAATAAATTTAAAACTATTTTTATTAAGGAATAAAATTTTAAATTATACCACGGGAAAAAACTCGCATTTTCTCTGCCGTTTGGCTTCAAACTTTTTGTAGAGTACGAATACGTAGTTGATTAAATTTAAATTGATATAATATTAAAATTAAAATTAAATTTAATTTAAAATTTAAGATTTAAAATTTAATTCGAATCTGATCAAATTTTAATTTTTTTAATTCGAATTTAATTTTAAAAAAAATTAAATTTTTTGAATTCGTTCAATTAAATTGAATTAATATATAAAAATAAATTTGATTCTTATTTTTAATAAAAATTTGAGTATTTATGTTTAAATTTAAAATATTTTATTAATTAAAATAATAAAAATATATTTAAATATAAAAATTTGATTAGACTCACGAATTATTTAAATTAAATATAAAAATACTCAAATTCGAATCGATCGATGAGTTGAATTATTAAAATTTAAATTCGATTCGATAATAATCAAAATAATTTTAAATTTTATTTAAATCAAATATGAATAATTTATAAATATTAATATATTATTGATACCTCTAATAAAACGAAATGTTCACTAGACCTTCGGTGCACTGTACCATCAGACAAATTCAATCTTAAATTTCAATCCATTCAACATAAATTTTTTTATAAAATTTTTTTAATAAGAATTACAAATTTTTTTAATTAAAGTTATAATAATTATTATTATTATTTTTAATTTCATGAACCATTCAAATAAAACTCAAGGCGGCTAGACGATCACAACATCGGATCTTGACCCAAGTGTTTTGAAAAGTTGGGTCGGTAGCCAATGGGCTTTTAAATTTTAAGCAAATCTTGCTGAGTTCGTTAGGTCAAACTCTTGGTTGACTCCGTTAGGCATAATTGTAAATACCCTTTTTAAAAGGGGAAAACCTGTTATATATAAAGAAAAAGATGGGTAATATGAAGGGGAAGTTTCAGATCAACTCGCACCTAAGCTTTCACGATGATGTAAAATTAATATAAATAAAATTGATACGTGTAAATTTCACATCTTCTATTGGCAATTGAAATGTGTAAATTCTAAAACAATTTCAATCTTAGTATCATTTTTAATAAAATATAAATAAATTGAAAATAAAAAATAAAATCAATAACGAAACTTAAATTAATATAATAAAAATATTTATGACAATATTTTTATTTTGTTTATAAAAATCATAATTTTAATTTATAATGTACAATTTTTAGTTAATTATATATTTAATATCTGAATTTAAAAAAATATATAATGACACTTTTAAAATTTTAAATTATATATCATTCTAATTAAATTTTTAATATTGTTAATCATATCAATTTATTTATGTAACATTTGATTAATATTATCAAACTATATATTTATGACATATATTATCAATACCCTTTTTAATAAAATTAAAAATACATTTCTTATGTCGATCAATTATTGCTTTTCACATGATATTCATATGAAATTTTTATAAAATATTTAATATTTTATTTAATAAATTACATATATATAATAAATGTATATTAATTAATTACTTACGAGTTAAAATAATAGTATTAGAGTTCAAATTAATGTGGCACATTTTCAATTTGTTTTTAATTTATTGAGTTTTTTTTTCTATTTTTCTATATTATAAAAAAATAAGAAAAATGAAATAAAAAAATAAATTTAATAATTCATATATTAATGTAATATAAAATAATGATAATTTATATAATTTTATTGTATTTCTATTAATATAAAAATATAAAATATATATTTTAATTTTATTAAATTTATTTAAAATTTTTATTAAAAATTTAAATTATGTTACTTTTATTTCTCATTATATTTTATTTTAGACCGTGAAATCTAAGCAAAAGCGACGATAAAGAAGAAAAGGTTCACGAGATTAAAGTAGAAGTAAAATTCTACACGTAAAGTGACTGTCAGAATTGAAACTCATAAAGGACAAAGAAAAAAAGCAACATCCATTCTTTGACTTCTGGAGCAAATCTGAAATTACATGTTACTTCGACCATCCCCACACTTTCCTTTATCGTAGCCAATAATTAATTAAATCATAAGATATATATATTTTTTTGTCTTCAAGCGTGAAATAAATAAAGTTTTATTGACAATTAAAGTAGATTTCTTCTAGATTAAGTATTTAAGTTTAATATTTGGTAGCTTTTGTCCAATTCGTCAAACGCGTGCCAAATTGCATGAAATTAAAAGTTTGTAGATTATTATATCCGGTTTAAATTAAAAATTATTAATTTTAAGGTTGCTTAAATTGAAATATAGTAAGCCATTTCTATCGGTGAATAAAAAACAAAAATTTTAATCCAAGGCTCAATTTTTTATTTGAATACTTCTAATTTTTAAAAATATTTGTATTTTCCTCACCAATCTTAAAATATATTAATATTAATTATTTAGATCATCTACATATTAATAAATATTTTTATTTTTATTCATATTAATATATATATATATATATACTATCAATATTTAATAAATATAAATATATTGAATCTAAGCTTATAAAGCTGTGGTTCTATATATTAATTATTATCAGTGAAAAAGGATAAATTTGATAATTTAAAAGATAATAGGATAAAAAAATAATATAAAATATAAATTTAATAAAAAATAAACATAAAACAAATATATGATTCACCATATCTATGAAAAAGTGATAAAAATGGAAGGGGAAAAAACAAAAAAGGGAAAAACTGAAACCGTATCTTTGAAGTAACGAGAGAAACGTTGAACCTGAAGACATTGACTAAGCTTCGTGGGTGGTTCGATTCGATTGTCACTAGGCGAACCCGTATCGTCTCGGGACGGCAGAGTCAAACGATAAAAACGGCAACCAACCTTTTTGCCATTTCTGGCACACACTCTCCCTTCCTAGAGCGCATGTTACTTTCCACTTTTGCGCTTTATAGACTGCCCATAATTTTGATGAGTAAACTTCGGAGTTGGAGTTAAAGATAAAAATAAAATAAATGAATAAACAGTAAAGATTTTAAAAATAATTTGTGTTTATGCATAAAATATTAATAAAATGAATTTCATGTGATGTAAGAAATAGTAAGCCGATCCTTGAAATAACATAACTAACCCTACGTTTAATAATTGTGCGACTATGACTGCGAGTAGACGTTGTTCATCTCGCAGGTTCCTCTTGACTTCCGTCTCTGCATTCTCTCTCCTTTGCATTTAAAATGTCGGTCACCCTCTCTTCTTCTCTTTCAGCTTAGCTTTTCGCTTCTCAAATAAATTTGCTCTCAGTTTGAAATTCTTCTCATCTTTATTCATCCAATCAACTAAAAATTAAGAAAAAAAAAAAAGGTGAGCGGAGAAAAAACCCTGAAATTTTGGGATGTAATGGCGTCGTCTAAGGTGATAACGACCACGTCACAGACGAATCACGATCTGCCACAGCAACCATCTCTATGCTCTTCGCTCTCCACCCTCCTCGCCGATCTTCAAAACCAACAAAATAGTCAAAACCAATCTCAGAACGGCCTTGGTTCCATGAGCATGGACGATCTTTTGAAAAACATATACTCGTCCCCGCCACCGCCACCAACTACTTCCGACGCACACCCGCAGTTCACCGGCTCGTCGATATCACGCGAAGGTAGTTTCTCGCTTCCGAAGGATGTGGCGATCAAGTCCGTCGACGAGGTTTGGAAGGAGATCGTGGCCGGCGGCAGCGATCAGAGACAGGGAGGTCTACAGGAAGAGATGACTTTAGAGGATTTCTTGACAAAAGCCGGGGCGGTTAGAGAAGAGGATGTTAGGGAAGTTGTTAATCAGGTGGGAGTGGGTGCAGGGGTTTATGTTGTGGACCCGGCCGTTATCAACGGCTGTGGAAGCCAGTTTTCGGCGTTTGGAAACAACGGCGGCGTTGATCATCAGAGGTTGGTGGCGCCAACAGGTGGAGGCGCGAGAGGAAAACGACGCGCCGTTGAGGAACCGCCTTTGGATAAAGCAACGCAGCAGAAACAGAGGAGAATGATCAAGAACAGAGAATCTGCTGCTAGGTCTAGAGAACGCAAACAGGTCAGGCTTCTGTATGGTTGCCGAGAAAATAGAGAGAAATATTAACTGTTTTTATCTCATTCAAATCTTATTTGCTTTTCATCCAATTTTAAAAACCCATTTTCTACAATTACACTGTGAGTCTTATTTATGATATTTTTGAACTTTTTTTTTCTATGTATTGCTTTCTATATGTAGGCATATACAGTTGAATTGGAATCACTGGTGACACGATTGGAAGAAGAAAATGCTCGGTTGCTGAGAGAAGAGGTACATAGGCAGCTATATTATATGATTTTATATTATGTTGAAGAATTTCATTTTCTGCAAAGTTCAATGAATTATTGGTGTTCTAAATGTTTGATTAAAATTAAAATTTTGTTGAATTGAAGAAGCCGCTTTTGATGGAGCTACTTTTTTTTTAAAGTTCTAGCTAGCCTTTCAACCCTATGCTACTAATTAGTTGTTGAAACCAGAGTAAAGACATGGAAGGAATTCTAAAATAGAGTAGTTGAAAATGGTGTGGAGATATCGAAACGATGTATTAACATTATTGCTTGAGCTGCTGAAATAACAGAGATTCTTCCTCCTGTTTTTTATGTAGTAGTAACTGGATGCTGTTCATGTTAAGGAATATGTATGGAACATGAATTATCATTACACGTTATATGAATGTTTTTGTATTGATTTTTCAACTTACTTTGCAGGCTGAGCTGAAGAAGGAGAGGTTTAAGCAGGTATTTTTCTCTTTATTTTAGCACCTTTTAATTCTATTATGTGCTTCAAAAATTCTGAGATATCTTCAGGTATGTTGGGGGATATAAGTGTTGCTCAACCCAGTTTATGTTTTTTATTTGTGGGTAGATGAACAATTCAGGAAACATTAAATAAACGGTATCTAAGGTTCATAGGCTGTTAATTCATGTGATCAAATGTGGTAGTAGATAAATTACAGTCACTGTTTTAAAAGATGGAAAATGTGAAAGAACATCCACACCTTTAAGCAGTTGTTGTCCCTTTAAGTTAATTTCTTTATTGCGTTCATCTTAATGAAGCTTGGTTAATGGAATTTTATATGATGAAAGCTTCATCACCATTAACGTTTATATATACTATGATAACAAAATTTATTGTAATAGTAACTAATCCAACAGTGTGCTAATGGATGAAATCTAACAATAATTGTGCTTTTTGCTTGAAAAAAATGACGATGTTAGTAGCAATTCTGACGCCCTCTTGCGGTTTATTTCAATTACAGCTGATGGAGAACCTGATCCCTGTTGAGGAGAAGCACAGACCGCCTCGTGTTCTTAGGCGAGTTCATTCTATGCAATGGTAAATGTGGCAGCTCCTTTTTTTCTTTTTTTTTATGGATGACATGATCAAATAAAAAGCTTAGGTTCAGTGCCCTTCCATTATTGAAGCTATAGAGAAAAACAGAAATAACTAATTTAAGTAGGTTATCTTTTGAGAAGGAAAACCAAAGATGAAATGGTAAAATGGAAATTTCAAGCTTGATTTACCTATCTGAGGATTATAAAGCATAGGAAGTCGAATGAAGTTGAGGCCTGGAAGGATCTCGTTACAGTTGAAGATGGATGTTTGGTGTATTGTAATTAAAAAAGAACCTCATTTGTGTAAAGTTGCGTTTTCCTTTGAATCGTGTCGGAAGGGAAGATGTAGGCCTGAGAACTAATCTATACAAATTCTGCATTTTTTTTGCTATATATAATAGCTTCATGATAAAAGCTGAACGTGGTGTCATTAAGTACTGCCCGGGCTAAAAATGTAAAAATCGATGGATGACAGAAGACCAAACAAACCCATACTTGCAGCAATGTTCTGACAGTATCAACGCTGACACCTTTCACTTCCAACATCTTATCAGTCATACTGTCATTTCAGATACGCATCACCAATAGCACATCTGCCACCTCTTCTACCATTGGAGTTTGCCACTTTATTTGTGTATAGTAAATCAATAATGTCAAGGAGAGACACAGGCAACTGATTCAACATTCATGAATTAACGAGAAGTGAAAAGGTTTAGGTTTTACTATAATGCAAGCCGTCATTCAGGTTTACAACATCACAACAGTCTCAATTTTCCATCCCACGAAAGAATGATTGCTCTAAAAGAAGAGGTGGCAAAAGAAAAGACAATGAAATTGCAAAAGGAGGAAGTTAAAAGATTGTCATTAATCTTATGTGTTTTACTGGCCACGATTTTTATTTTATCATTCTATTCACAAGCCAAATTTCGTGTCAAAGCTGCTCAGGCAGATTGCAAAAGCCTGAAACGCAGATAGGGGGAACCGGTAATCCATAGTGAACAAATCTTTGCCGATCTTGCCAAACTGTAGGATTATCTTATCAATATCGGGTCGGGGGGCAGGCTGAGATGGGGTGGGTGCACCAGCAGCTGCTTGTGTGGCAGCAATCAACTGAAAGTTCTTAACAGAAGCAACAGTTACCCGCCCACGGAAATTCAGGGACCAACACTGTAATTGCTCATGCCATCGAGGAGGCTTGTTTTTGAGGATCAAGGGTTTCATTTTCCTATCCTCATCATCTTCATGAGAAGTACCAATTTCCGAAAACCGGGAGCTGCTGAACTCAACGGAATGATCAAGAGACTTTGAAAAGGAAATGCTCCTGAATGAGTCCTCCAAAGGGTGACGAAGAAGCTCCGGATGGCCAGGGACAGAACCACCTGCATCAAGAGCTGAGACAGGGATAGAATGCATGATGCAAAGCATCCTTCGTGGCCCTCGGGTCCCAATAACATAGTTCATAGGTAATGTGAGCTATATCGTAGCTGCCAGTAGGGACTTTAGGGGAAACTTTCTTAGAGTAAAATTTTCGACTTGTTCGGCCCGGTGGAGGAACATGAGCAGAGGTATAGGCAGACTGGGTATCATATATTATGAATTTTGTGCCGAGGAAGTTTGACCTGGAACAGAAACAAGAAATAGTTTCAAAGTTATATTCCATAAACATGAAAACTTTTCCAATTTATCAAGAAGTAAAGAATCTTTCCAAAAGTTAGCTTCTGAAATCAAACAAAGAATTTGGGCAAGGGACTTATGAAAGAAATCATTAATCATACTTTTCTAGAACTAAACCGACAAGAAATCATTAAAAGAAGTGATTCTACTTCAACACTGGGAGGACTAGAAAGCTGATGCCTGATTCAGATTGCTAAGACTATTGATCAGGACAGAAGGGCAGGATTTGCATTAAGATGTCACGATCCAATTAACATTCATACCTCAACTTTCCAATGTAACCGCTGCTTGATCTTGAAATGTTGTCAGCATTCACAGAAATGATATACTCCGTAGAAGTAGTCCTGCGTGTCCTTTTTGCAGAAAGAAGGAATTTTCCATTTTCAACTAGCAAGGCTGTAAAAGAGAGAATATAAGACAAGAACTAGTGGTAAGTTTAGCATGAACAAGGATGAGAATTCGAAAACCTATAGAAGGCAATTAAACATCTGCAGTGTGACCGACAAAGAATGGCAGTCTTACCCTAACTGCAGAGGAAGGAATTTGATTGTTATCCTAAATAGGAAATTGAATAATGAATATCTGAGAATCACATTACCAGGGCTAAGACACAGAAAGAGATGATATGTTAATTTCGATTTATCCCTTTTCATGAAACACTGGATGGTTCCATCGCGTGGCCCAGGTTGAAAAGTAAAATTCAGACAGTTCAGTCTTGAGTTCTCAATATAGTGAGAACCCACTATGCGTTTCAGCATAATCTCCATATAAATGCAAAAATACAAGAATTACAGTAAAGCGATTTCCAAGATCAACTCAAATCAGAAGAAGACTAATCCATGTTAAATGAACCAATGATCCTACCTGCTTCAAAGACACTCGGAAAGTAAGCTTCCCACAGAATTCAGGACTCTTAACAATTTCTTTGCAGATGACTCTCCATGATCGCCAAACTGATGCACAGGCAACAACATTCTTTCGAGCAGGCCACATGCTCTCAGTCTCTTCCGACTTCTTGATAACATCAATAAGCAGCTCTGGAGGGAGATTAGCCCAACGGCTGTTCTGAATTACGAGAGGCTCATCACGCAAGTCATCTAAAGAGCCATGAGATTTTCCTGTGTGATGCCCCGTCAATATAACATCAAAATGCCGCCTAGACAAGCTCCCAAAACTATCCCGCACATCACGAACTATGCTACGGAACGACATTTTTCAAGCAGAGAGCAAGGCCAGCTCAATTATAATATCTGTTCTGAAGATTTCTGATGAAAAAACTGCACCAATTATGTGTTTGTGGCTGCCGGTAGAAGAAAGAACTCAGTTTCCACCACAATCTACTAGGGCAAGCTTCAGATGGAGCCCCAGCACTCTGAAGAGCTAAAACTATAACCATATAACAGGTAACAACCCATTTTAACTAAACCAAATAATGCAAAGAAGCCGCTTAGTTTTTTCAACTTGGTTTATCCACCATATATGTGACAGAAATTGCATAGATTTATAAGCCTTTTAAGAAGAAAAAATATATCTTCTGTTCTAAAAAACAAAAGTCTGTAAAGACTCCTGCTTGGAAAACTTCCAGAGACAATCTTTACAGGAGAGTTTTTCTAGTTTCCTTCCTCACCTTCTCTCTCTCACCATTAGCACGAGATGAAAATTTGGAAGGAAACTTGGAACCTCGAATAAGCTACAAATTCCCATTTAAATCAAGCAACCAGATAATTTAAGCATTGTTGCTAAAGTCAAAGTATATATTTGAAGAAGGAAGATAACAACTTCGATATTTTCTCATCAAATTTCCCACCTAAACGAAAATTTTCTCCATAAATGGCCATGATTCAGCTAAAATTATAGAATAATTTACTATACATTAAGCACAATAAAAAATAATTTACCTTGTAAAAATCAAGGCCTTAAATCTCAAGGCTTAATCTGATCAAACCACCATAGCTTTAGCTTCAGAACCCACCAAAGATCTGCAGCCAAAAAAAAGAATAAAATTTGTAAACAACCCAGATTATATGCAAATCTTAACCCTCTCTAAACAAAAAATAAAACAAAAGGTCATTTGAACTGGGTTCGTATTGTAACTTGTAAGATTTAAGACAGTAAAAAAAAACAACGATATTTATGAAATCTTAAAAAGGTAAGATGAGATCCGTTTTTATGTACCTGAAACATGCAGCGAATCTAAAAACAAGATCAAAAACAAAAAACCCAGACAGCTTTTTTTACATAACTGAACAGAAACGACAACAAAAAAAAGTGTTGGGGATTGGATCACAGTCAGAAGTGTTTCAAGTAAAACAGTTTTCTCTTTCTTTCTCTTTTTCTGAAGCCGTCTTCCCTGAGCCTTCTCTCTCTTTAATCACGGCAAACCCACATTAAATTTTTGGTTTCTGATTTTTGATTTTAGTTTCTAAGGGGTTGATGCGAATTTTTTTAATAAAATATAATATTATTTTGGTGCATGAGCTCCAGAGCTAAATGAGTGAGTAGCAGGCTCCAACCAACGACAAAATGCCCTGTTTGACTTTTTTCTTTTCTTTTTCTCAGAAACTAAACAAACTAAAATTAACTCTGAATTTAACGTCTATCTTCTGATTTTGGTTTTTTTCCATTGTCCTTTAAGAAAACTTTGATTTGGGCTTAGCCCATGTTTGTTTATTCCGGGAAAATTTGATTGGAAAAGATTAAAATTGCAACTTTGTGAATGTGTTCTCAAGTCCTCCTTCAATCTATTTAGATCAGTTATGACAAAGAAATTTCATTAATGAACAATAAAACTTGCAAAAGCACTATCATGACTAAAGTAACATCTAATTTTTTTTTTAATTTAAAAATTTGATAATAAAACAAAGAAAAAGAACAATCAGAGCCACAACAGAGACTAGACAACAAAATACACAGAAGGGATTATAAGCGGTCGGGAAAAATCAAACCTTTGTTATTTAAAGTAGTGTAAGTGACCAAAGATATGGCAATTTTCTTCATGTTACAGAACATAATAAAGTTGACAGAATCCAACGTTGACAAATTTTTATAATGAATCAATAATTGGAAAAACCCAATTCTTAGATGAATATTGAATGAATCAACACAAAAATTTAAGGGTTATTGTGCTTCTCTGTCACTTTTTGTCTTTCATCTTCTATCTTTAATTACTTTCCTGTTCATTAGGTGAAACCTAGGAGCTTGCTACATTATTTTGATGATTGTTATTAGAAGTAGTGTTGTCATTTGTAGAGTTGACGATGATTTCGATGGGTTCGTCTTGCTGGGAGCTTGTTGTTGATGGTGGCACTGGCAATGGCACTTCTCTGCCTGATGCTGCTGATTGATCCTCCATCTCCTTCCCCTTACCCCAAAGCACAACATACAACCCCAGCACTATTAACACTGCTCCCAATATGCTGTAAATTTAAGAACAACCCTTATTTTCTCTGCTAGAAATTAAGATCTGCAACTCTAATTCCATGAATTTTATTAATCATTGAAATAAGTTCAATTCTCGACCGATAATATATACCTTCCCAAGTGCAGCTTTTCTCCTAAAAACAATGACTCTGCCAAAGCGACTAAAATAAACATTAGAGGGTTAAAAATTGATCCGTAGAGAGGGCCTTTGATGCGAACGCACCAGTTTATCATGGTAATTGTCAATCCAGACACTACAATTCCCTGTAACAGAAAAAAAAAAAAAGAAATTGCAGAATCCACATATAATATGAAATATTTCACTGTCGATGTAAAAAAGAGTAACGCACCGCGTAAACAACAGTGAGAAGCCTGATATTCCACCCTAGTTTCCACTGGTTCCAATCTTTCTCAGTGCAAAGTGCATAAACAATGGATTGTATTGCTCCCATTATACACATCAAAGCTGTACTTGAGTAAGGACATGGGTACTTTTTACTCATCTTGGCCTTCATGATAAAGAAACTTTTTCTAAAGATCAACTGTGGCAATAACAATATAATATAATACTAGTTAATAATGTATATACCTGAATGATCAACCACACAGCGTAACTGATGCAGAAGGCAACAGCCAGCAAGGTTCCCAACAGAGTATTGGAAGAGCTTGGATGTGATGAAGGTGCCCCATGGTGATTTAAAAGGTTAATATGTGTTCTCCAAATGTTAACTTGTACTCCTTTGTAAAATGTGAACAGCATTGCACCGCCTATTCCCGTTAACGTTCCAAAGACTTTTGCCTTCCCTGCCATAGTTCCAAAAGATAGCTTTTCCATTCTATTATAAAAAAAAAAAAAAATTTGATTATGCCATTTGATAGCATATCAATTAATAATCGAAAATCAGGGGCAAGGAAAAGATGCAAACCCAAGAGAAACGGCCAATATGAAGGTTGTGACTGGAATGAGATTACTCATGGCAGCAACAAATGTTGCAGATGTTAGAGCCAGGCTTTCTATATACAAATTCTGAGATAGTGATCCTCTGCAGGAAATGACATAAGGAGTGGTTCAAACTTAATTTACTTCAAATATTGAGTGCAAACTTACCCAAATAACCCACAAAGAAAAGCTTGGTAGAGTATGGTCCAAGTCAGTTTTGGCCTATTCCTGTATTAAAGAAAATTCAAAACAAAATTGAGGTTTTGTTATGAAATACTATTTAGATTAGAATTAAAATACATTGTTAATGTGTTTATAGAAAATCAAATGTTATTCAAATCAAATCACCTGTAATCTCTTTTCATATTGTCATACTGCAACTTAAAAAAAAAGCATTTGTTCCAATATTCTTTTTCAAATCTCATAGGCTGTCTTTTTCTTTTTTTTTTTTTAATTAATTAATTAAACTACAAGTCTGCAACCCTTTGAATGATGTTTCTTCCTTGTAGAATAAATTTTTGTGCCTTTATGCATGTTTCTTGAAAAATAATTAGAAAGGCAAAAGAAAAGGCAAACCTTTCAACAAGGAGAGCAAGAGGAAGCATGAGAGGAACTGCAAATAAGAATCTGTAAGCAGTGATAATCCTCAAGCTCATTCCATCATTTGCTGCCAATTTATACAACACATTCATTCCAGCAAACGATATTTGAACCACCACCATCACCATTGCTGCTGGCATCATCCCCATTTTCTTTTTTTTTTTTTTTCTTTTAGAAGCTTCTACCCTGTCGTTTTCTACTGCTTCTGTTCCTTGGCTGACTGCGCACGGCAATTGTCAATACCCCAGGTTATTAAAACAGAAGAAAAAGGTAAGCGATTGAGTTGTGTTACCATAATCATAAGTTGTAACGCATTGGAGAGCTTCATGTGACGTATTCAAGTACGTAGAACTTAATCAACACGTGCTCAGTTTCCAATATTTTAATTAAAATTAGTGGTTTATGAATTCACGCCAAGCTTGGTTCGTTTTTAGTAGTCATTTTTAAAGGTGTTATACGGGTGTAATTGATATGTTTGTGTTATAAGTTATATGAATTTAATTTAGATAAAATTTGAATTTATTTTTGTTATTGTTGAGTTTAGTTTGAATTTGAGCTATTTGATTTGTTAAGCAAGGTGGATTTGAGTATTTCAATATTCGATTTAAATAATTTGAAAGCATAATAGTATTTTTGTATTTTAATATATATTTTTATTTTTTAATTAAAAATTATTATTATATATATTTAAATTCGAGTTCGAATATAAATAATTAAATTTGAAATAATACGAGAGTCTAACTTATTTTTTATTCGATAAACAAGCTTAATTAAGTAAATTCAAATAATTTGATTTTTATTTTGAATTAAATTTGAATTTAAAAATTAAAACTTAATTGAGTTTGAGTTGAATTTTAAGTAATAAATTTCAAATTCAACTTGAGCTTTTTATTTTATCGACTCAACTCGATTTAATTATATTTTTACAATATCATCCAACAAATATTAAATTTAAATACCAATACTTATAATCTATCATGCTCATATTGAATCATAAACATGCTAAATATCATCTCCTAAAAATTACTTAAATATTGCACCTTTTCTTTTTGATTAATTTTGGGAAGATTTTAATTAATTACACTTAATGATTAGAATATTGAGTTAATTAATAAAATTTGAATGTCACCAAGAAGATAGAGAAGATAAATTGAATGCATTTATTATCATAGTTTTTATGTATTACTTGAAAATTATATAATATGATTAGAGATATAAATGAATAGAATGTTTGACAAATAATCTGTGAGTATATTCAGTTTCTATTTATTTATGTTTGTTTTTTAAATTTAACAAATAATCAAGAATAATATTTTAAGATTCATTAATTAAATGAATATATTACGAACGTAACAAAATTTATTAATATTTTATTCATTTGTGAAATTAATAAAATATTCAACAAACTACTCTTGAATATTTTTGATTTATTAAATTTAACAAATAATTTCAAATAACATATCATAATTCAATAATTAAACGAACAAATAATAAATATAACCATACTCGTTAGTATTCAATTCATTTACAGCTCATCATGATCCAATATGAGTTTTCGTATAAACAGGTGTAAGTACTATAAGAGTTTTTCTTAGCTTTTCCTATTAATAACTAATGAAAGGAGTTGTCAATCCCAGTCATTGCTTTCATTTTCTATTAAACTCTAACTTGATTCATTGAAACAAGTAATGCTAAACTTCTGTAAGCAAATTTGTTCATATACGTTTATGATCGGCTATTGTTTTAAGATATTCTAAATTAAGATGTTATAGTGATTTTGTTTTAAAGATATTTTACTGATCACAAATAATTTTTTTAGATTCCGTTTATTTTGTAAAAATTAATTTTCAAGAAATATTTTAAAAAAATATTTGTAAATATTAAAATTTAAATATACAATTTTGGCATAATCATGGAAGAAAATTGAGATTCATATATATATATATATATATATTAAATTTTTGCATATATTAAATTCAAAAATCATTAATTTTATCTAAAAAACTCTAAGTCTTTGTCTCTTTTTGAAAAAGAAAAGGCTGTAATTAGAAATAAACTCACAATTAAACTTCATTTCCCAATAGAATAAATTAACAACATAAAGCTTTTTCGTCCTTGATGTTATGAATGCTCACTATATTACATGTTGTTACTGAGTTTCCTTTGCTTCTGTCTTCTTTTCCTTCTGTTCCTCGGTCACCTTTGGCACAGGTGGTGCCTCACTTTTTGGTTCTTCTTTCTTTGGCTCTACTGCAGCTTCTACTTGGGGCTGCTGGGTCTCATTCGGTTCCTTCTTTCCCTCAGTTTTTTCAGGCTGCAGTTCATGCATTACAAGAATAGATAAATTAGGCAATTAGTGCAACTGCGAAATTGTTGAGTAACTAAAGAAAGGTAGAATTGATAATTTTACTTCAACAAGCAAAGAACCAAGAGATTGTTGTTCAGTTTCATCAACTTCATCAGCCTTGTTTTCCTCTCTTTCAACCTTGATCACTTCCTCATCAGTGGTGTGCTGCATAGCCTGAACAGATTCCTCCTTGGCCGGTTCAGGAGGTGGCGCAGCCGAGGCCTCACCACTCATTTCCTTTGGCACGCTAGCACAAGCACCCATGTTGGTTTGATCAATCTCTAAAGTTAATTCCAAAAAGGAGGGTACCTTTCTCTCTTTCTCTTTATATTAACCTTAGAGAAAGGTTTGAAGAAGAAAACAAACAAAAAAGGAAATGAAGCTTATTGTGATGAGAATCATTTGCCTTATGGCGGGGCTTTAAATAGGGTTTGGTTTGTTTTGCCCTTATGTTTTTCAATGGTGCAGAAAGATTCAAGGGAGGCCGTTGCTGGCAATCTATATAATTCAACTTGTTTTTGTTCCTTAAATCTTAAAATAAAACTGAAATAGTTTGGTTTTTACTACCTTTTTTACTTAATTTAGCCTTCTTATTAAAGTTATCAAACAATAGTTTAAATTACATTCTTTAATTTTAAACACGTTACAAAAATGACATGATTTAAAATTAAAAAGAATGCATATGAATTTGAAAAAAATTATGTTTCATATTTAGTATACAAATATGAATTATGACATGATAATTTTTTTTATTTTACATATGTTTAGTATGAAACAGATATGAAATAAATACACAAATTAACAAGTTTAATTTAAATTGTTACTAGTTTATGAAGAAGAACAATTTTAAGCAGATTTTGAAAAGAAATTTAAAATGATTTCTATTCACTCTTTAAGTTAGAGCAATTGGTTGTGTTCTATATCATCATATTTTCAATGAAAATAAACTAAATTTAACTATAATAAATATGAAATAAGATCATCATTTATAATTCATGAACACAGAGCAGCTTTGATAAGATTTCTTCATTTTATTTTATTTTTACTTTCAAAAACATGAATATTTGCAACAAATTTTTAATAGTCTAAACAACAATGAATTTTATTTAAAAAACTTTTAAAATCTCCATAAAAGAGAAAAGAAAAAAAAACAAATAAGCGAGTACATGTATCATATTCATATAATTGGAATATTGCTATGTAATAGTTTGTGTTAAAATTATGATTTTTTTATTTTAATTTTTTGGTTGGAATATTTATATTGACTTGATAATATAAAATACAATATAATGATATAATATGAATACAATATGAAAAAAAGATACGAAAGTGATGATTTAAAATTTTTGCAATAACTATATATGGGTTTAACAAAATAAAAAAAATTATATTTTTATGTCGACATAAATTGTGACATGCAATTGTCATATAAAATATAATATAAATACATGAATTTCAATATTTTACACTATACGAATATACAAATTGCTAGGTTTTAATTTATACTTTGCATATTAGACGATATTATGGGTTAGACCCGACCTGGATTAAATCAAGTCCATTATTAGGCTTTACCTTTAACGCTTAAGCTCCATTGAGCTTGAAAGTGGGTTGGATGATGCTTGCCAATGCTAGCCCACTCCATGATCTCATTCCTCAACGAAACCCTAACACTATGTTTGGATTGAGGGGAGAGGAATGAAAGGAAAAGAAAATAAATGAAAGTAATGAAAACAGAAAAATCATTTTTTTGTTTAGATAAACTTTTAATTTAAAAGAAAGGAAAGAAGTGAAAACCCAATAATTTTTAGTTTTTCTTATAATCATTATTTTTTTAATATCTCAATTTGGGGGAAAAGCTATGAAAAAGAAAGTTGAAAAAAAATTTATATTCGTTTTTTTATTATGACATTAAATTTCATTATGTAATTGACACTTCTTACAAAAATATTTTTTTTATGATTATTTTATATAATATCACAGTTTATAAATATTTTATGATTTTTCAAGTCTTAACAACAAAACAAACCAAATTATTGTTAGAATAAATTAAAAGACTGAATTTAAATTGTAGCAACAACAGTTGATAAGTGCTATAAGAATCATTTTAAGCAAAAATTGGTGTTATAAGTATTATAAAAAACCTTAAATCCCTAATAGTGAAACTTGCAGTTAGTATAAGTGTGCATGTCTCTTACATTGTTATTTAATTTCTGTTATAAGCTTTTACTTTATTATAAAATTTTTGTTATAAGCTTTTATTTTGTTATAACCAAAGGTCTTTCTTTAAAATTTAATTTTGTTTATAATAGGTCTTTTATGTGCACATTTTAACTCAAAAGTTTAGCATGTTTTTCCTGTATTATTTTGTTCTTAGAATTAGAGTTCATATGATTGGCTTGATTATGTTATTTGGTAATATTTTTGGCAAGATAATTTATAAAGTGAACTTAAGGTTATGATTATACTTATACTTAAGTTCGACTATTTTTCTAGTGATTTTGTGGCTGTTTTTGTGGCTACCTTTATCATAATTTTGCTCTTGAACTGCTAATTATATTGGACTTGGCTAAAATTTTAGGATAAGTTTTGAAAGTTAGGTTTTTGGTGTATATTTTTAGAATCTTTTTGGTCAGGTAATGAGGTGGAAGTTTAATTCCAACCTTTTGACACAATAGCTTAATTACTAAATCAAATTTAGGTTATAAATGTTTTCAATCCTAAATTTTAACCCTATTTATAATCCTAGTTGCCGAAAATTTTTTGTTTTTTTTTTTAAATTTTTTTATGAAATAACATTTATTTTTTATGTTGATTAATTAGCTTTATTTATACTATAAATTAAGGCAACAGTGATAGTTGATCACTTATGCTAGCACTAGTGAAGGCCTAAGTGATGGGTAAGAATAAAAAAGCTATATAAACAATTAAACAATTATAACCAACCACATATCAAAATATCCCTGAACAATAAAAAACCCTAACTACAAATTAGAGCAATTAAGAACAACAACAGAAAACCCTAATTATAATTTTGATCAGTTAAGAAAAACAATAAAAGCAACAACAGAAAATCTTAACTATAAATTTGAGCAATTAAGAACAACAGAAAACTATAAATCAAAATGTGCCTAATAATGAAGGATTGTATAAAACCCTAAACCAAAATATACATAACTTTGAAGAATAATAACAAACCTTAACCATAAAATGGCTAACTATGAAGAACAATAGAACCCAAAATATGCATACATATTATTCACCATATTATTCACCTTACATAAATTTAACAAAAATACAACATCTAACCTTCCAAATTTTCAGAGCCCAAAGATTGAATCCTAAACATAATCAATTCTTGAAACATAATTGATTGAACTGAATGTTAGTTAGCCTAAAATAGAGTTTAGAAAAATGCTTAACTCACAAAAATTAACAAACAAAATTGAATAAGAGATTAAACTAAACTTGTCTGGGTGATTAGGGTTAAGGACAATTTGCTTTAGGTTTTGAAATTTTTGGCTTTTTTGATTTGGGTTAAATGTAGGTTTTTTTTCCTAAAAAATGTTTCATTTCTTTTTTTTAAGAATACTAATAAAAAAAATCTAAATTAGCATAAATTCGTCTAATCAGTAGATTCTTATTCTTTTTACATGTTATAACAGCACATGACATGCACATCCTATTTTTTGTTGAATAAATCTTACATTATTATAAGTTGATAACGTTTCATCCTTATTTGTACGAATTAAAATGTTTGGTCTTAAGTTGAGCAACCACCTTAACGTTTGATCTTGATTTGAGCATTTAGTCGATTGTTAGGCACTGTTTATGGATTTCATTTATGGCATAATCTTAAAATTTTTGAAAGAGCAAAAAGATTATTCTAGAGTTGAAAAAAAAGAGAAAATTTTTTATATAATCGTCGTCAAAGTTTGCAATATGAAGTTTCAAAGTTGAAAGAAAATGTTGGTGAAGCTAATGTTATTGTAGAGAATATGTAGTTAAGGGGAAAAGTTAGTTTTTTTAGGTTGAAATTGAAAGAAAGCAATAAAATTACTGATGGTGGACATGGTGGAGATGGTAACTGAAAAATAATTTGGCTTATCTCATTTTTTTTTATACTTGTGTTTTGTGTAATCTTTTTCACTACAAAAAAAATTTTAGAAGCTTAACTTGTTTGCTTGATAATGGGTTAGGATTGTTATGGGGGTCTATAAATATTTGTTAAAACTCTTATTATGTTAATGGCAATTGAATCAATATTATTAGCTGTGAATTCTGTTACTTTATGTTATTAGCTATGAAAATATGGTTTAGTGCAATATATTTAACTTGCAATATGCAACTAGAAAGTAATATGAAACAATCTGATAATAACATCAATCTTATAACAAAGCAATATGATGAATGTTAACAGGAAATGTTTTTCACAACATTCAGTACAAAAAAATTCATTCAACAGAAGGCAGAATAGAAAGTGTTCTTACAACATTAACAAGAAAAAAAAGTTAACTTCAGCAGCTAGTAGCAATAGTTAATAGAACAGAACATCAACTTTTTAGATTTTTTGTTTCTTCTTATTTTTTTTAAAAGCAAGAACTTGATTTTTTTTAAGTACCAATTATATCTTTAGTAGCCTTCCTCTTGCCTCTAATTGTCCCAACTGTTATTATTTTTGACTTCTCAATCCAAACTGTTAAATAACATTTATCAAGTTATAATGGGTAATGTTTGAGGAAATAATATAAAAAATACATATGTTGGTAAAGAATCACTCACATTTAAGATTTGTGTCCCTATTTCTAAGTTTGTATATAATCCATAACTTTACATGCCTTTTATCTTGCTTTTGGTGACAACTCTAATAGTGTGCTTGTCATTGTGACTTCCAATGTTATTTACTAAAATTGCTCTCTTCCTAGTGGTTGTTATAGAAAAGTTAAACTTTGATAAGGAACTTATTTTTTCACCAGTCATCCTATAAAGTCTCCTATCCTCATTTGTAAAACATCTTCCAATAGAACTTGTTGGTCTTTTAGACTTTAGTTTTGCATTTTCAATAGCAATAGAAGTAACAACATTGATTGGATTTGAAACTTTTGTTGAAACTATAATGGAAAGTGGATCTAAAATTGGATTTGAAGTTGGAGTTGAAATTGGAATGGAAACTAGATTTAAAACTGAATTTGTTGAAGTTGGATTTGAAATGAGATTTAAAGTTTATGTAGATGTAGTTGCAAATGCAAAATGATTAATATTAGCTAAAACAAATGCAGATGTGTAACCAAACCTAGATGTAGAAGCAGAAGCTGATGCAAAAGCACAATAAGTAGTAGCTAAAGTAGTAACATGGTTGCTTGAATCGTGTATAGCTTCAATATGATCTACAGTACTTGATGCACCTTAGTCCATGTTCTGGTCTCTAGATCTAAGCACATGATAATCTTGCTATCATGGAAAGAACAATATAGTTGAGTTGATGGCTTAGGCCATTTTAACAAGAGATGATCCATAATAGTACAATGCTTATAATAACAAATAAAAATAAAATAGAATGAAATTACCTGACTGCGTATCACGAG